GTGCAAGCGCCCCATTTGGGGCCAATCCATGATCAACGTCAACTGCAAGCGTCTCGAAGATGTCATTCTCAATTCGACACGCTATCCAACCCCTCCCAACCCCCACTATGTGAGCTGGCCAATGTAAGGGCATTTGCTTTGCACAACAAGAATCACGTGCCTCTTATGACTGGCACTGCAACGACCGTGTACTGTATTGCACGTTCGAAGTACTGTTGCTAGCGAAGAAAAGCCAAACATGAGGAGCCCTGTCTGCTTTCGCCAAGGGACGCCGTACTGGCAATAATCAACAAAGGCGAGCTGTGATTTCTGTTGCAAAAACTTCATGGGAGCTGTCAACCAACAACGTGAACTGCCTGGATTTTCAATCACATAAGGGATGCGAAGCTCAATGCAAAACGCTGCCATGACACATGTCCACAAGAGCAAAACATTGCCTAAAGCAACCTTGCTGTTGTCAGAGACGGAGAGAGTGTTCCGGCCCCAAAGGAAAACATTGTCGTCACGCAGAGGGGGAGGCCCCCCCGTCCCAACGTCTTGTACGTGTCCAGCTTTGGCAAGGCATACCAAACCACACAAGAACCACTTCATGTGTTGAATTGAACTTCAAAAGACTGCGAAGCACCCCGGGTTGCAGAACATCACAGAAAGGGCCATACTCGATGTCCCAAGCAGCGCAGCGAGAACCTTGTTGTCTCATTGCTTTGCTAAGATGCGCTGTTCCACTGAAAATCTCCAACACCCAAACTCTCAGATCCTTTTCCGTTTCTGGGAGAAAAATCTTTGGACCCATTGGTTGAGGAGTGCGGGTGCTTCCAACGCCCTTCTCTGTGTCTTCCTCGGCAACTTCTGAAACTCTTGATTCAACCGGGCTGAAGCCTCGTAACGTCGAACGGAAGAGTCGCTGAGCCACCTCAACAGCTGCCCCATCCATGGAGTCTCCCTGCTGTCCAGAATGATGGATTCGTCCGATAGTCCCATCTTTGAAGAGGCTGCTCTGTCTGATGGGTTGAGGTTCAGGCAAAAAATGAGGATGCTGTACTGTAGGTTCCACTAGATCGTTCCTGTGAAGACTTATCGCCTCTCCTGGCCGCAGATACGCATCGAACATCAAAAGCACCAAGAAACCTTCGCTGATCTGCTGTTTTGTGAGCATACGATGCACCACTGCTGCAATCAGCTCCCATGGAATCGGGGGCCTTGTGGTCCCGGGATCTAACCTGTTCCAGCCTTGCAAGCGCCTCCTTGACCGGGGGAGGCTCCCCTGGGCATGCAGTCTGGCACGGCGTCCACCACGGCAGCCAAGGTCTTTGTGGCCTCGCCAATGTCCTCCCCGTCCTCGAACATCTCGTTGAGAAAGCCCCTCCATTTTTGCAAAAGTCCTCAGTCGGGCCATTCGAATCCGGTAGTCTGATGCGACCTCCTCCGAGATTGCGTTCATCTCCAAAAACGTCTGTCCCGAAAATCGGGGTGTCTTTGTGACTTGCTGGATGAAATTTTGCCTCTTTGAAGCTCTCTCCTGCTTGTTGTTGCTGCCTTGTAGTTGCAACCGCACTGCCTGTCTTGCGCCCTGTCCAGTTGTTGCTTTGCTTTGTCTTGCTCACCTGTGGCAATAGTTTGCCCTCGCCTGAGATGTTCCCAGCGCCGAGAGCCCTCATCAGCTATGTTCAAATGACTGGGAATCCACCGACAGGTCAAGCTGCTGCCAGCGCAGATCAAAAGACATGCCAACCGACGACAGACACGCATCAACTGAGGTGAGGAGCTCCTACCCTTGTCTACTGCTAAAACAATGCCCAAATTGTCTGACAAATGTACACGGCGCATTCAACTGATCCACCACAACCAAACTCTCCAAAATCCTGGACAGGCACTCATGCTCAAAAACCGAGTGATCACTCTTCGGGATTTCAGCAGTTCTAACCCAGTGCTCATGAAAAGTACTGGGCGTGAAAGCCTGATCTCGCATGTCCTTCAGCAGCTTGAGAGCCGTTGGGGGCCCAGTGGGCTGGATCCCACCGCCAGATGGCTCTGCATCATCCATGCTTGAAACTGCTGTAGGAAAATCTTGCCGGCGGACTCCTTGTGCATCAGACTTGATTGGCAACACTCGTAAGTCATCCATGCGATATGCAGCAGCCTCTGAAGGCTTGACTTTCTTCACCAAAACGGATCCGATGCCAGCGGGAACTATGCCACGTTCACCAATGGAGTGCGAGCCAGCTGGTAGCGCAGCCGGGTGGAAAGGGGCCTGATCCTCCAAGGCTACCCAGGTGTCTACAGCTTCAACTGCAGCTGCAACTGGGGCTGCTCCACCCACGCCTGCTGCGGGCGCCACTGGCGCTGCTCCCAAAACCCCTGGAGGTCGTGCCACAGGAGCAACGGCGGCCGGAGCTGCTGGTGAACAACTGGAGGTCCAAGGGGTAAACCTGCAGCCAACCTGTGAGCATCTGCCAAAATCTGACCTTGCATACGAAAAGCTCCCAACTCCTGTGGTGTTAAAGGATCAAAACCATACATCGTGTTCGGATCTATGTGTGCTGGTATTGCTCCATTCTCCCCACAATAAAAGAAGCCACCTGTGAAGTCCGTGTTTGAAGCCGACAACTCCTCAATGTAAACATCGTGATCAGGCATTAGGATAGCCCAGTTGGGGCCGCCTGCATGGAAGAGTAATGCCCGGCAGTGCCAAATGGGACCAGCCTCACCGTAGTTGACCAAGGCCAAACCACCTGCTATCATTGAGTGAGTTGCATGAAACGGCCACTAATGCCCTGAACTCCCTTGCCACTTTTTGGTGAGCCAGCTGGGGCCTTACGACCAGTGTCCTTCTGGAGGGTCCAAATCAATGCAGCTACCAAGAAGATCAATGCCAAAAAGCCTGCAACCAGCAAAGGGCCTCCAGGCAACTGGGATGGAACCTCAAAGGAACAGTGGCAATGACAGGGAGGACAACTAGGGGGTGCTTCCTTCCACGACGAACGGAGAACCCAGCCAATCGAAACTGAAGCGGCCACGATGGCCAATTGCACTTTCATGGCCGTCCCCTCCCACACGTCTTGAGTGTTCATGTAGCGGCAGAGCACGTACCATTCTATCATCTCTGAGTGAACTCTATATCAGCGGATGAATATATATATATATACAGTATATATTGTAGTGTGAACTTGGGGGACAATTTTCGCAAGCCGCGCGAGCCAAGTCTATCTTCCACCACCCTTCCCAACCAACTAGGTCTGACACCAAACGCACGTTCTTCGTGGCACCCGCATCGTACCTGGAGCTGAATTGTCGTGGCCTGGCCTTTGCCTTAAAAAAGGAACACTGTCGAACTATGGATGTGGCGATGGCATGCGATGGCCAGAACCTAAGGAAACCCTAATCCTGGACATGCATGGAAACATGACCACACTGTCTGCTGAATTGCCTCTTGCCCCCACTAAATACCTTGAATGCTGGTCACATCGCCCCAAAACCAGCCACCGCGCCACTCTCTCAGTCGGTCGGTCTGGGATCTCCGGGCGTGTCGGCGATGCGCTTGTTGATGCGCTGCGCCAAGAAGTACGGCCGGTGAGGTGCGGCCAGCAGCTCCTGGAAGTGGCGGGCCGCGAAGAGGCTTCGCGGCGGTGGGCCAGACGGAAATGGCATTGCTATCCCTCAGTCCAATCCCCGAACTCCCCGGGTGGGTGCTTCCGGACCAGTAAGGATGTCATGATGTCGTCAAATGCTATAATTCTTGTATAAGGTAAACCGTCGCCATGTTGCTCATTCTTCCGCGGACCAATATCAGGCTACATGGCCAAACTAACTGACCTGTCATTCTTGGTATTGGCTCGAGGTACTGGCTTTTGACACGCGCATTTCCGGACAACGACATTGAATCCGGAATATATGACAGAAAATCACATGAAATGCACCCTTCGGAATAGTAAACATTCAAAAGCAACTTGAGCAGAGTTCCTGGCAAATCTACACCCTCTTGAAGTTTGCTGGTTCGTCGCATCACAAGTCCCCACAACACCCCACAACACCGAGATATTTCGGATCTCGGATATCTCGGGCTTACCCCACTCCATGTGTTCACCAAATCCGCTGCTCCCCGGTCCTTCAAGGTCGCGGGTGGCAGCAGTGGTCGAAAGGCTTCCGTGTAGCGTTCATCCGGCTCCTGCGGCAGACGGATCACCACGCAAGCGTGTCGCAAGCACTGTGCTTCTTTGGGATCTCAAGGATGTGTCTTGTCTGAGCGCTAAAATCCTTCGAAGATGAGTAGAGTGCACTGCGGCTCAATGGTTCTTTCACATTCATGCTCAACATTTGGTGCTGAACATCATGGCTTGTTCTGCTGGCTCCTTTGATTCTGCTGGCTCCCAAAACATCGGAACCACGGTGTTCCACCGTCCCAGGCGCCGGTCCAGGCGCATGTGGAACTCGGCCGCACGAAGGCATAGCCCAACATGCTGAGCTCCACCGCCAAGGCCTAGCGCCGCGTAGCGCCACCGCCGTTTCGAGCGTCCCGGCCGCGGCATTTCGTTCACCCAGCATCGTGATCTGCCATCATCTAGCCAAAGTTGCAGGAGCCCAGGTGCATGGGCCATGTCAACAAGCACCACCGGTGAACACCTAAGAGTGATCAGAAATGTCCCCAGCTGATGTTCACCACCTCCCAACTTTTTCAGGGTGGCCCTGAAAAATCCCGACGTGGAAAAGCGCGAGCACCATGTGGGCATCGAAGCTGACTGCTGACTGCAGCTCCGACTCTCGGCCCATGCACCTTGTCGGTGACGCTCACCGAGGTCACGTGCTTGAAGTTCCTTGCATTTGAGAGAAGCTGAGCACCTGGGGTCGCCCGATCCAGCGAGTTGCGGGTTCTGGCAAAGCAGGCAAGGGAGAACAAGCAAAAAGATGATGAATAGTGAAATATCTAGCGATTAGGAAGTGGTACTTGAAGTGAAAAAGAGCCAACTATCTAGTAACTAGTGGTTAATAGGGAGTATGATTACAGTAGTCATTTAAAAGGGCCCACGATTCTGGACTTGAAGTTGGGACCGAAGATCGGGTGACATGCCCACTTGTCGAACCAACCACCCCTCCGTTGATCGACAGCTTTGGTGAAAAAGCCAGCCGTGAATGCGAAGATTCCAAGCAAACCTCCAATGGAGCAATTGTTACTTGCTGTCACAGAAAAAAACAGAAAGTGCCATATGTTCCACACACACCCAGGGCCCCACCGCTAGGGCGTTCGGGTCTTCGTCTTCTGCTTTGGGGCTCTGGCACATCTCTCTGCCATGCCACCACCGTGAGGCCGCCCGGTTCATACCTTGAAACAACATCTTCAGTTGAACTTTCGTGAAGGATGGCTGCCTTTGCCCAAAAGTCCAAGCACCAATCCGTCAAGAGTGAAAGCACCACTGATGTCGTTACTCTAACAAGGTCCAAGTCCAAGGTCTGCTCAACTCAGTACTAGGCAGGCTGATTGTCAGTCAACTCTTCAGCTTTCAAGAAGCAAGGCTGCTTTCACCATTTGCGCCGGGCAGCGGAAGGACAAGGTCATGAAGAGCGCCTCATGTGGTGCGTTGGACCCACGAAAAGGCTGTTGCGACTGCGCATGGTTCACAGCATGGGTCCATGGTTTGCCACAGATGGGTGGGATTGAATCAGGAAACCCCTCAATGTTAACTGTTGATCAAATAAGGCCTCTGCAGGTTCAGAACCAGTATGGCCATCCACATCTCCAAAAGAGAGGCTTCTTCATCCACCGGCGATTCCACAACCATTGGAAGACCTTCCCCTGGCTGCCCCAACTATAGTCACCCCACGGATGTTCCATGGCGAAGAACAAGCGCCCCGCCCCGTGAGTCGCCAGGCCGTAGCAATAAAGCCCGTGCACGTTTGCATCACGTCATGACCTGAGCGGTTCCACGTGGGCAACCGACCCACGGTCGGAAAGCATGGCATGGCGCGTTCCGTTCCCCGGTGAGACGGAGGCGCGCTCGCATCCTCTGAGACCCGGCACTGGCCATGACATATTGTACCTCAGGTGACGCAGGTGCACCGAAAAAGACAACACACAGGGTCCTTTGTAAAGGGCTGTGGTCCATGACTTGCCTGGTGTTTATCACCCAAGCTAACACTTTAGGTCGGAAGTCAGTGCGAAGTGCGACGTTCTCCTACCTGGGTGATGTTCACACCAATCACCCTGCGTTGCTCGCGCTCTCTCGTCTGCGGTTCAGGTGCCACGTGGGTGACCTGCGTCTCGACGAGTCTCTCGTAGCGGCGTCGCGAGCGTCGGTCGGGACCGGGGGTCCGGGACCGGGGACCCGATTGGAATCTACAAGACCCACACAAGGGGGCAAGGGGCACCAGACACCAGTGGTGGTCTTTCAATGAATGCAAGGCATCTTCGAAGATCTGACATTGTACACACCCTCCAATCGAGTGGGTCTGAACTCTCAGAGTCTGTGGGGTCGTCTGGTCGGATGGCTGAATTCCCCGGTGGTCCGTGTTTGGACGAAACGGCTTTTCCGCTCCCAAGATCAGGCCCAGCCCATGAAGCGGACCACTCGCAGGTGCCACAACCACAAAAGAGGGCCTCATCCACCACCACTGGCTGCCCGGTGGTCGAGAAGTTCCTGACCGAAGACCGTTTGGACACCGGACGCGGCGCGACGCGACGCATGCGTGGCGGAATATAGGACACTCCCTCTCTGTCCACTGAATTGATTTGGAATGAATTCCATGAATGACTCCATATTTCTATGTGCTAGGCCATCACTATACAATTTCCTGCAAAAGTTGACGTGGGCCCTTCAAACAGGCTCCCATAAGAAGAAGGTATTCTTCTACCAACCGGTGCTTTTCGACTATCTACGTCAAAACTTGGCTTTCGCATTTCGCAGCAATCAAAATTCAAGAAGTCTCCATGCTGGTCACTGATATTGCCTTCTGCCTTCTTAGAAGGTTGAAGGTTGGGGGCTTCCGATCCAAAAAAACCGCTGAAGGCCGTCTCCTGAGATTCTCAAAGGCCAGAGTGATCCCAGAGCAATAGAGAAGAAATGCTGCAGTGGCCTGGTGGCAGGATTTGAAACGTGGTCGGAAGAGAGAGAGAGAGAGGGAGAGTTTTTGGCGCATGATCATCAGCGTAAAGCGAGACGAGCTTGAAACACGGAAACCGTTAAGACAACACATCTGCCCAAGGACCAAAAAAACAAATGCAACTTGGCACCTGAAGTATTCTCTTCATCTCGCTCCAGCATTGACTTGCATTTGACCAGGCTTACACAATTGCAACAACTCCTCCATTGTGACCCTGCCTTTACGGGTGCCCTCCGTGCAACAATGCTCTGCAGAAGTGTCCACCACGAATCATCAGGCATCGTGTTGTGGCCCTCATGGCACGGACAGTCGCTAAATCGCCACATGAATCGATTCTGAATCGATGACATTTGCATTCGAGATCCGGAAGCTCAGAGATCATCGAGATTGACCCTTTCCCCAAGAAAAAGTTTAACAAACTGGTCTGCGTCCTCTGAGCCCCTGGTGCAGGAAAACCACCAACATCCTCCAATCGTCCTCCGTCCGTGGACGCAACACCCATCCGTTCAGGCCTGGCAGCGTTGCTCCCTGGTCAGCCAGAAGCGCTGGCGGGCCTGACCGACGTCCACGAAATCGGTCCCACACGCGTCCATTTGCGCCCCACCCACCTGCTCGGCATCACTGCGTTGAAGCGGTTTGCCAAGCACTGAGTGGATCCAGTCTCGGTGCGCCAAAACAAGTTTCATCCAGCAACCCATCCCAATGGATCCCTTCACTTTTTCAACAAATGTTCTATACTTACTCGATCTGGGTGCAGCCCGGCGGGTCAAATCAACCTGGCCCGGCTTCTGCGTTGCCAGCAAACAGTCTGGGTCCTGCCAGGGCTTGTGGCATAACCAGAAACCAATGATATAGTTATTGGCTCAAATCGTGCACAAATAAATTCAGCACAAGTCAACAGCCGCATTCTGATTCACTAACAATGTTCCCAGGACCCATATTGCAGCAAGGGATGTTGAGGTTGCCCCGCAGGTTGCTTCAAGTGGGCCAACCAAAAGAAACCTGGAGGGAGCTACAGTGGTCTGACAGCAATCCTCATCCCAGTGTGCAGGCCGGGAAGAGAAGCCTTGCAGCAAAACAAAGAGCGGCTGAACCGATGCATCATCAAAAGCAAAGGAGTGTCTGAAAGGGAAGCAGCCACAGCAGGAAAATGAACTAATCACTCTTTGCGGTTGGCACACTGCACAACCTTTGGATGAAGTGCTCCGCACACTGGAGTACACAATTCATCTCTATCCAGGTCTCAATCCATCGTCTTTCCGCCTGCTCGTAGACCATGCGGTCCCAAGGCTCCGAAGGACCGTCGAGGGGCGCGCCGCGCTATGGCGAAGATTCGATGGGAGACACCCATTTTGGGTGTGTAGGAACAGGGAGACCGCGCCAGGGGTTATACCTGTCGAAGGGAAAATACATTCTGACTCTAACTCATTTGTTGGACACTCCCCATTTAAAGCAAAAAGCTAACAAGCAAACTTGACCAAACAATGCAGTTGCAATCCCTTCGAAAGCAATTCACCAGCCTTCCAAGAAATTCAGTGTGTGTCCGTGTGTGTGTGTGTGTGTGTCTCTGTGTGTGTGTCTGTGTGTGTGTCTGTGTGTGTGTGTGTTTGCGATCACTGTGTGACATACAGATACAAACCAAATATGTTCTGCAAGGCCAGTCGGACCTTGGCAGCGCACGCGAATTTATCCATGAAGTATGCTTCCTTAGGAGGCACCACCTTCTGAGTGAGGCCATGCTTGCAGAACAATAACGCGTGGTTCCGTGCCTTTTGAAGAACAAAAGCTGCAACTGGCCAATTTCATTCAAGGAAACTGGTTGTCTATCACTGCGTGATTGTTTTGACACACTGGGTTTTCATCCACCAAGCATCCATGACAACGAGACTGTGCTGCTGCGATCACGATGCCCAATGTCGAACACCCAAACCAATGTCCAGTGCAATCAACCTTTTGACTCTTTTTCGTCACGGGTTGAGGTCTCACCTCAAAGCTAAGTCAAATCAAGCCTCGCAAGGCGCGCTATTAAAAGAAAGAATCGGGACACGCCCTTAAATGAAAACTAAACACTTTTTGCACCAATTGGCCCGGTCGCTTTCTGAGGCGGCGCTGGCCTTGCTTTTTTCGCTGGCCTCGGCATGGCCTTCTTCTCAGGGCGTGACTTGGGGCATGGCTGGAGGCACAAATCCACACGGCTGCCCATGGATTTGTTGCTCCGTTTTGGTGCTGCCTTGGCTGCCTTGGCCGGCGCCTTGGCCGGCGCCTTGGCTGGCACGTGGCCGCTTCCAGTGCTTCTTCGTCGCACGTCCACGTGTTGGCCAGCTGTTGTGGTGCTGGCTGCACGGAGAGTCTTAAACCTGAACGCGTATTCCTCTTCCAGATCCATGCCATGAAGCTGGGAAAAGTCGTGGACGATCATCTTGAATTGGATCGGCATTCCACAGTTCTTGTAGGCCCAAAGCCTTCGGTTGCCCATGATGACAAAAGACTTGCCCTCATAGCTCACGGCTACCAAGGCAGGGATGTCCAGAGCATTTACAATGCCTTGTTTCAAGTCAGACACCAAGTCATAGATTGACTTATTCCTGTGCCCATGCGTGAAGATATCGCTGATCGTCTCATGAGAGTGCCGGATGCTGGTATCCTGTGACGAAACCAGTCGCACACGGCTGCTGAACCTCTCTAGAGCGCTCGGGTCCACAGATGGGTCTAGTTGGCTGATCCGACTGGCTTCTTGCTTCTCCCAGTCCCGAAGAAAGCGTTGGAACAAGGGCGGATCCACTTCAGGCCTTCTCACTTTCTGATTCTTCTCCTGCTTTCCTGCCATCCAGCCTACAAAGCCTTGCTGAAGAGTCTCCGAAAGCGTCCATGCAAAGATCCCACGCCCCTTCGGGGCTTTGAAGTCGTCCTGTCGCCAACCAGTGGGTCTTCTGTCCACCTTGAACTGACGCACCAAGCCGGTCTCAAGGCGCGACATGGTTTCTGTGCCAAAGGCCAACTGGAAGGCCAAGCGCTCGTCTTCTTCAGTTCGATTTCGCCTCATGCTCTGGTGACTTCGAGACAAGGAGTGAAATGAGTAGATCTGGCCATCGTGCTGCTTGACCTCGAAAAAGACTAAAGCTCCTTTACCAAAAGGCTCTTTCATCTTTCTGTCCATCACCAAGCAAAAGCTCCTCACACCATTCTCAACCATGGCTTTGCCTTCGGAGTGCGCTGCAATGATGCAGGGCCATGGGCGAAAGGCCTTCTGGAGCTCGAAAAAGAAACGCTCTGCTGGAGGTTTCTGGTACTGTGGCTTTCGAACTTCCTCCTGGAAAGACAGCCGTGCCCGCACGAGAACTTCCTGGAAAGCCTCCGGCGACACAGGTTCAATGTACGCTAGATTTCTCTTCTGCGATTTTGTAGAGCTCTCTGGCATCCATGGGATTTTGATGCCTTGCCACTGCTGCAGCAGCCGAGCTTCAGGCAGCCTGCTGCCCTCCACACAATTGTTCTCTTTGTTTTGGGAGACAGCGAAAGCAGTCCGAGGCCGCGCAATGCTTGAGGTGCCATTGAAGGTGGCCTGGGGTCTAATCTTCTTCACTTCCATCTTTCGAATGATGTTCACTTCCTGCCTAAAGCTGCCGAAGTACGCCAACTCTGCCTCCTCACCTGCCAGGAAGGCGCAAAGGGTGAGTCCCAACAGCGCCGCACGCTTCCGAAGCAACGAGGTTGATGCCAAACCCAGTGCTTGCAAGGGGCGACTTTGATGCCGATGTTGCATGTACATGGCACAGTCGTGCCAACCAGCTAAAGAAGGGTCCAAGGCTTCAAGGAGCTTGTCTAATGTCATCTCCTCAAAAGGCCATGCCTCACCCAGATCATGGCAGGACCAAAGACCCAAGACCTCTTGCGCAAAGTGCGCAATCTGTGAAGTCTTGTCACTTTGTCGGTCAAGTTGCACCACGATCAAATTTCCGATCCGTCCACAAACGAAAGCACGGTAGATCTTGGCTTCAGACATAGCGATTCTGCACCGGCATCTAAGAGTTGGCACACACCATCCAGCTTCGGAATCCTGCTTCATGGTTCATTGGTCTATCGATGGTCTACGGCTTGATTCTTCACAATTTAATTTGGGGTTTGACACGACACGGTTGATATGGGTTGAAATGGATAAACTCCTCCAAATCCTGCATGAACATACGAATCTTGAGCCCAAAAGTTCCAAGAGCTTTCCATCAGATGTGAACTTACTTGAAAACTGAGACTTTGCTTAAGTATTCAAGCTCCGCTTTGCTCCCAAAAAACGACAGAATAATTGAGTCATGCCTGAACTTCGAGATGTCTTTTTTTCAGCAACTCTTTTCCAGCCCTGCACATTTCGCAAAGCTGGGAAGTCTCCGGATCGCCGCCTCCAACGGAGGAAAGGCCGTGCAAAGCAGAAGGCTCCCACATATGAGGTACTGTCAAATGTTGTTGTGTGCGGCTATTGCATCGTCAGATTTGCCGCTGATTTGCCAGGGTTTGGAGGATGTCTGCTCCTAACATGGTACCAATCCCATGCTTGACTGTGGTCTTTGGTCACCATAAATGAGTGCCTTTTGCAGCCCTTTGCTCTTTGGCTACAGGCTGAGCGTACAGAGCTTGCAGACAATACAGTACAATTTGGGTCTACGAGATGATGCAGCAGTCGTTCGACTTCTGCTTCTCGACGTGCGAAAACCTCATGGGAAAACGTCGCAGGCTGCAAAACAGGAAATCTTCGAGTACCCGATGCAACAAGAAGAGCGAACCTGCAAAGTCTTAAAACAGTGAGTCTAGTGCATCTACTGAAAGGGGTTGGACATCCATCAAAGCTAAAACAAATGGAAGAGCTTGGTACTTTTGAGGAAATAAATGTAGGAAATCTCAAAGCTACGCTAGTAGTTCCTTGTCATTGCTCCAAGAATATAGAGAGAGAAGAAAAAGGTATGTCCTAACAATCACACGAAATACGTTTCACTTGTTTCAACAAAATGATATCTCCGGCAACCTGACACTTCCCCACGGAACATTAGCAATCAGACGTCGAAGCCACAAAATGATGCAGTGGGGGCTGGCACATTGGATGATGCCCTTCTTTTAGGTGTCAAAACCAAGGTGTCAATCTAGCTAAGCGGAAAGCCGCAGCCAGCAGCGAAACAAAACCCAAACCCGGAGTCTCGCTAAGCAGCCAGGCAAGACAAAACCCCAATCGCTCCTGGTGAAAGATCCATTTCAGTTCCGCCGAGCGTCCACAGGGCCGTCGCGCGCCAAAGCTCCATCTTGTTCAGCTGCCCATCTCCTAGGACATCGCCCTCCTGACCGCACAACCAACGACCGACAACGACTGGTGAGAAAAAAAGCGCAAAAGCAAACGGGGCACGGGGGCAGAACAAACGCGAAAACTTGGGTCAAACTGAAACCTGGTCAAAGGATAGAAACAGCGATGTTGTTGCACCACATCGCCGAGATTCCTTCATGACCCACTCCACCTCACTGTCTTCAACTTCTATCCCACCGTTGAGATCCGTCAAATAGGCCTCACAGGGCGTTTGCAAGCAAGGAAGTGTCTTGCCAAAAAAATGTGTGACTCCAAGTCCCTTCAAGAAAAATATCGAGCCAATCTCCGCCATCATTGATACCAGTCCACCAGTGATATATTATATATGTATATGTTTACTCTGCATGTACAAAGAAAAGCAACATGGTCAGGCTGCCTCCAGGCTCGTGTCGCACGAGCCAGCGTTTCTGACAGTATCATTGCTGTGCTATACTTTCATTCGTCAGAGTCGCGAGACGAGTGTTCCAGTCGTGACAAGAAACAATCCTTTCAGTTGGCCTTCAGCTCTTCCTGTGATAGTTTGCCAGTCTTGGAAATATCAAACCTCAGCTCCAGGACGACTCTGCGGACCACCTCTACTGGGCGGTCAGTAGAAATAAACCGGTCTCTCTGCCATCTTGACAGACTTCAGCGGCTCAGCAGGGAAAGGTTCTTGAGCATAGTGGCTTCTCCAGCTTGCTTTCAAAAAGCTCTCGATGCTCGGTGTAAGTATGCCAACCTCAGCTGCAGTTTGGCTCCAAGAAGAAGAAGGAGGAGGAGGAGGAGGAGAAAGAGGAGGAGGAGGAGTCCACATGTCCACTGCACGACTGAGGGGCTTCATCCTCCGAATTCCTGCAGACCAGAAACAAGTGAGCAGCTCCTCCAGCTCTCCAAGTTCGATGGATTGATCTCCAGCCTGACTTGTACGGTAGGAACAGAACATCAACATCGGCCATCATGGAACAGCACGGTGTTTCACCTTGTCATAGAGCTTCAAAAGAAAGTCCACTTGATCAGCACCTGGGAGCGGCTTCGATCCAATGAACTCAGGCAGAACGTGATGGGACGCCCCTGAGAAGCAGAATAAGCTTGTGCAAGAGACGGACCCGGAAAGCTCGAGTCTTCCGGAGCCCGAAGTGGAAATAATATCCAACAAAAACACGAACTACCAAATGTGTCGGTTCGATGGTTTGCGCAGCATCCTTCCAGCATTTCTCCCAGGTTGGGGTGCTTGACAAGGCAGGAACGAGAAGGAAGTCGTGTGAATTTCCAGCAGGTAGCGAATGAGTGCATAGCCAAACGAGGACAGATGGAAGGAATCCAAATGAAGATCAACACAATATGTGGAGCGACCGAACGATTTGCAAGAAAAATTGATAGAAACCCGCTTTGCCAAGATTCTTGGTGGTGTTCCGGGCGGTGTTGAAGAGTCCGTATCTGTCAGCAACTTCACAATCTGATCTCGCCTCGGAACTGCTCCACCAGTTGCAACCGTGGATATTTGACTGGGAGCTCTCCCAACTGCATTCCTAAGCCCAACACTCGAGTTTGCCCGACTGGTTGGTGTCGTAGGTCCTCGACAGAGGTCGTCAACATAAAAACCGACACCTCGTGTATCAAGGAACACTGGACAAACATGTGTATATATATATATATATGTAGAGAGAGAGAGAGAGATAAGTAAGAACTGTAACTATATAGATACTATACAGGGTCTTTTAAAAAGTATGACTCGCCCATCGATGCCTTAATTCGCAAAATCTCCTGCCATGACTCGCCTTGACTCCATGGATGGTCAACTCACAAGTCCCTGCCATGGCCCTATGGAGTCTCCGAGTCCCGCAGCCTGATGATCTTCATCAGTTTCACCTGACAAAAAAACACAACCGGGCATGAATCGAAGCAATTCAAGAGGATTCCTCAGCTTAATATTGGTTTCAAGTTACGTTTCTGTTCAAGAAACCAAAACGTTTTGAAGCAGGAGAGTACGGTTGCCTTGCGGTTCCGCTCTGCTATTGCAGCTTGCAAACGCCTCTGCTCGGCAGAGCTTACCTCAGCGTGATCATGAAGAAAAAATACCGATGCCACAAAGAAGTTCGCCACCGGTTTTTTATTTTTGCAAACAACACAACGCTATTAGGTTGGAGGCCACCGCTTTGGTTGGAGGCCATCGCTATTAGGTTGGAGGCCATCGCTATTAGGGTAGAGGCCATCCCTATTAGGTTGGAGGCCATCACTAGTAGGTTGGAGACAATCGCTAGTAGGTTGGAGGCCATCACTATTTATCCACCTTCCGAGCCAACACCTTTCCAGACTCACACGCACCACCTCCGCCTCCAAGTTGCTGGGGTCGGACGAAAGCCTTTGCTGTGCCTGCGCGCTCTTCGCGCAGCAATGATAGCAGCAACATTGCCCACCGGCATGACTTGGCGCTTTCTTGAAATCAGTCTGCTCGTTCACACCAATTCCGACATCAGTGCAAAAAATGCAAAGCGTGCATTGTCCATTCGTCTGCTGATTTTGTTCATGTTCCTGTCAAACCACAATGGTTGCGCATGACATATTCTTTCTGGAAGAGTGCTTTCAAACAACGCTAAAACACATCAACTGCTGGTCCATGTTCCAGCGCAAGTCGCAAGTGTGCGAGCAACGGATGGTCGCAACATGGATGCACTTCGAACTGCAAACAAGCCCTATTCTGCTACAGTTGAAATTGAAGGACGTTTGATGAACTTGAAAAGCGAGATACACGAAAGGTAGGACAGCGGGAGGAGAATAGAAACATGTAAAAGATGCAGTGTGGCGTTGGTGGAGTCGAGTCAAACGTCAACTTAAGAGTAGGGGAAAAAAACAAAAGTTTGAGATATATACCCGGAGCTTCCAACTACGTTGGTAACCCTAGGATGTGAGAAGATATGAAGTCGATTCTAGGAGTTCACAACTACGTTCAAAAACCAGCAACTACGTAATGCAATCATCTCAATCACCTCGGGTAAACTTACTAGCGAAATACGTACGCTACTTACCTTGGTCAAATTTAGTACGCATCCGCGCGGGAGTTTACCTGAGTAGTTGAAGATAAGGGTCTATATTTGCAAGTATACGATAGTCTTCAACGACAAGAAGCACTAAAAACAACATTCATGTCTTTCATGGACTCAATCACTGCCCCAAGCTTAGAGTGCTCAACACCAAATAACAATGGATTTCCTCTGGAAAGAACACGGTCTCGAGAGGGGTCCAAATCGGACGATGCTCGGACACGAGTCGAGTGCAGTCGCGCAGTGAAATGACGAATTCTAGCTGAAGTAGTCACTGCCACTGGCGTTTCGTCAAGACTTCCTCCAAACACGCTTCAAGGCTCCAATACGAGCGTTTTGTGCGAGACTTCTCAAAAAACGCGTCTCCAAAACGAGCGTTTCGTGCGAGACTTCCAAAAGTTCCTTGTGCAGGCGCAGGACTTTGTGTGGGTTTTTTGGGGTGGAAGTGCGATTTGCGTGGTGCAGGGAAATCGTGAGGTTGCGACATGTGACGGAGGTGATTTTTGTGCAGACGCAGCACTTTGTGCACGGACAGACGCGGAAAGATGGGGCACAGGGAATCGTCAGGTCGTGTGGTTGAGTTGTCAGATTTGGATTGGCGTGAAGAGGGTGTTCTCACCCATTGTTGATCTTCATGATGATTCACCCGGCTGGCACGACCGAATGCAGAACTGTGCTGCAGGTTTGAGTCCTATGACATGGAATCAAGTAATCAAAACTACAAGGACCATTGCAGGTCGCAAACACCTTTTCCATGCACAGCAAAGCATTGCACTCTGGGCGTCTGGAGGTGGAGTCTTGTTCTTCGCAACGTATGAACCGTTCGCCACCGTCCGCAACAGGCGTTTGATGTTGTTTGTAAGGGTCGGAACCCTGCCAGCTCTTCAGCCAAATTGTCCAATCAAAGTTTCAACAAACTGCTTTCAGCACCTGTTCGATCAGCTCACAACCCCTTGAGAATGCTTTACTATGCTTCCCCTGGCAGCACAGAGCTCTTCAGCCAAAACTTGCCAATTCAAAAAACTTTCAACAAGGCCAGGAGCGATTGTCGTAAAGGGACCGATTGTCCTCACATTTGAGGAATTCCTGATCATTTCAAATCTTATGACATATTATGCGTGAACATGATTCACTATAATTGTGAAAACACGGAAGCGCAAGCGTCCTCTTTTTAGATCCCACTCCTTGAGCCAAACATCACAGTCGGTTTGACTGTATCAAAGTCCTTCATCTCTTCTTCTGAAAAGGTCTGACTGGTCGCAGTCGTCCGAAACATGTTAAAGGAACAAGAAAGCATCTCCAAACACTCTCAAGCTATTCCATGCTATACACAGACAGCTCTACACAGCTCTAGCCAGGGCTTCTCTAAAGGTGTTCCCAGCCACTCTTGGTCACATCCCACCTTGTCCTGCTAAGGAGGTCAAAGAGAACACACTCCAAAAGGAAGATCCCTACTCAGCTCCAACCCCAAGAAGAGAAAAACGAAAAGTTTCACTACAGACAGGTACTATGTGATCCACACACTGTACAGGCGTGCTACCCACACTTTTCACACCCCTTCTTGGGTCACCTCGTACCTTCTTCTGGTTCTTCCTGTCTTCTTCTTCTCTTCTCTTCGTTTTCTCTGAGCCACTAAGGGTCAAGCGTCAACTAAGATCTCAACTCCTGTCCTGCAAGATGGTCTTTGAGTCGATCAAACGTCAACAAATCCCAGACAACCAGCTACAAGCAAGTCCAAAACACGATCAACCAAGATCAAAAATGCAAGACACCAAGCTCAACAGCTCAAGATCCCTCAGAGAGCAAAATCTTCTTGAGTCTCACAGTAATGACTCTTCACTTGCTTTTCCTCATCATTGGGATCTTGACAGCTCGACACTTTCAAGGTGGTACCTGACAGGTCGAAACGACAAACGATTCACGTGAAGATTCCTGCCAGGACACAAATGCACATAAGCTCAACTCCACAGCAAATGGAAAAAGGAATCTAGACAACCCTCTAGTTACCAACCCTTTTACTGTCTGCACTGCAATCTTCTTAGATACACCCTGCTAGTCACATGCAACTGCAACCAATCAAGTGAACATGGAATCACAGCAAATGCGTTGAGAAAAGGAAGCTAGGTGTGCAACCTTTAGTTACAATCCCTCCATGTTACTGTTTGATTTCTGGATGCAAAACTGCCTTCAATCCCTGATCTTTCAGATCTTTCATCTCGTGTCAGTCCCTTTGCTCCTCCATTCAAACCCCCGTGGAATCCACTAAAGAAAGCAAACAAAAAGAAAAGAAACGCAGTGAAATGCACATGCCCTTGACTCAAAAACCTGACAAGTCAGACTCAAAGTGAATCACTGCTGAAGCCACACAAGATCTTCCCTCTTTTGCCAAGTGGATACATGTCTCACGCAGCTGGATGGAATGAACCTAGGTGACTACCACCCCAGTCCACTCTGCATGCGCTTGTAAAATCTGTCTGCTGGAGGTGCACGACTCCGGGCACAGCAGCCCCACTCAAAACAGCAGCTCCACTCAAAGCAACCCCACTGGATCCGCCCGGCAAAGAAGGTCCGCCGGGAGGTACCTGCTGCACAGGCTGTCCTGCTCGTCCTGGTGGCAGCGGATAGGTTGTGCGCTGAATCCAGGAGGAGGCGGGCGAAGGCACTCTTCGAGGGTGTCACCGGCGTATTGCCGCTTCCAGTCCCTGCTGAGATCGCACTCTACACCAAACTTTGAACGCCGCTATCGGACGCTATCGATCTTGGTCAGGGTTTCAACGACCGCAGACAGGAGCTTGCCATGCTCGTCGAGCACTTTGGTGGTCTTGGACGTATTCGCGTCCATACTCGTCCGGTACCGACCAAAAGCTCCTTATAATGGAGCTGTTTATGGGCTTTCCTGTCCCACTCAGCTGCCAAGCCACGTCCATCAAGGACTTGTGAGACATCTTTTGATGCTTTTGGCAGAAGATGGCACTTATGTCGATGTCACCAATTTTGTACGTCTTGAGCTCAACCATGGTGACATACGTTACGGTGTCTTGGACCTCATTGTACAGTTTCCCTATAAAGGGCAACGTGCACAGTGCTATTTGCTGCATTTCTTTCCGGTGGACACTGTCACAGAAAATGTCAAGACCACCTTCCCTGAATGGACGGAGGGATTTCATTTCCCACCGGCATTGCTTAAGCTTAGGGCCACAATCGAAGGAACCATCATCCCACTCTACCATCAGGGATGTATTGCCATCAACGCTAGAGGAGCCACCATTTATGGCGCAAGGAGAACTTTGGTCCGCAGAATGATCCTGCACATACAACATCATGAAGATCATCTTCTCACTGTACTGGCAGATACCGTGCCAGCCAGGGAAATTGCAACTAACATGGACCCTCTCGAAGCCTTCTTGCAAACACGCCCCTTTCCAGGCTCGCTACCGCGGCGTGCAGGACTTTGGACGTTTACTGACAGGCAGCAGCAGCAGGTACTCCGGGTGGACCCACAGTCAATGGCGCAGGCGCCTCCCCAACGCCAGGTAGAGCGCACACACCATCAGATTGAAACAGCACTCCACGCCAGGGTACAAGGCTTTCATGCGTTAGTGCATGATATTGAGCAAACTGTTGACGATATGCCGCATGATGTGCAAGGTGCCCTCCTCACCCCCCTTACCGACTTGCATTCTCAGTTGTGTGGCCTCGTGTACGTGGCCTGGTTACTGTCACTAATGCACCCTCAGGCAGATGACCATGAATCGTAGGCACAGGGGATGCAGTCTATGTGACACACTCTGGAGCAGGCACACCTGGTTCTTTTCCTGACTGTTTAAAGATTCTGTTCCTTGAGGAGTCCCCCTGCTGTTTTGGGAGCTTAGCCGTTTCCTTGCAGTTGCATCCCGCCGCAATGTTTGGCTCACAGCTGGTTTTTAAACCATGCAAGCAGGAGTGGGGTCAGCCTTAGCTGCCGTCACCCAAGTCGCCTGCCCCTTCGCTCGCGCCTGCCAGCGCAACTGCCAACCTTAGTTGGTGGAGACTGCACTTGCCTTTTCGAGCCTTATGTCGCAAGACCCCTGGGAGGAAGAAGCGAATCCATTGGACCTCAATGATTGCATGGATGATCGAGTTCAAGTGCCGATAGCCTACACACAGGCTGCAGCAGACTGGCTTCCAGAGGCTGGTCATGCTCTCTTTGCCCAGGGTGCTGCGGTTAATGTCAAGCAGATGCATCTGCGGCTTTGACAATGTCAGATTGCCTTAGTAGTCCCTTTGGCCTTGACTCTGCCAGACCTGCCCTAGTGTTGTCAGATGTTCGAGCACAGCCGCCCAAGCAGGACCGAGGGTATGCCACACAGCAGAAGGATGCAGACGGAGACCTACCTGACATG